TGTTAAACAACATTAGACAAAATTAAACGATAATACACAAACAATTATCACAATTATACAAGGAACCCTTTAACCCCCATTTGAACAAGTACAATTTTAACATTATTATACAAAAAAGAGTGAGTTAAAACCTATACTAATATTAACGCCTTTATCTTTAACCGTTGTGGTGTATAACTTTTTTGACAACCTTTTTATTTGAGGATATTGACCTTGGGACTATTATAACTTGTGGACAAGTAGGATTTGTATATGTTTCTCTCATAACCTNTTATTATTATGAGTGAGAAAAAGCAAGAAAGAAAATGATATATATATATATATTATTATTATTATTGTTGTGTGTTTTGTTTCTGAATTTATTGAACATGTCAGAAACAAAACACACAACAATAATAATAATAATATATATATATATATCATTTTCTTTCTTGCTTTTTCTCACTCATAATAATAATTATAACAAAGTAAAAAAAAAAAAAATCTCAATGGCGATGCCAGTCAAATAATCGCAATCAGTTCAATTCTTTCAAAATCTTGCAGCCCTGTCCTTCTCTGTCGTCGTTGTAATGATAGAGATGCATTTCTCTCGAGATGAGAGCCCTCCTCAGTAGCTGCAGCAGAGGGAGTGAGGCTTCCTCATGTTTCAATCTGTGCAGTCCACTCCAAGTGCTCGAGACACTGATTGCCAGAAGGGAGTGAAGCAGTCCTCCTTCCTGTGAGGAGCAGCTCAGGGTGGAGGAGGGGAGGAAGAGACCCCCCCCCCTGAATTGTGTCCGTCTTTGACCTGAAAGCCAAACACAGAAAGCTCTGCCAGACGTTTTTTTTATTCTTTAAACATCCCCTCTTTTTTATAATCCTCTTTTACTTTCCCTTTCTCTTTGTGTGGTGTTGAAAGAGCTCAGAGTGCCCCCCCCCTCGTTTGTGAAGTGCCGCTGAAGCCCAGCTCAGCAGCCTGTCGCGCCTCTCTCCTCTTTTAACTCCCAGCAGAGGAATGGGGGGTCAGGAGGACCGTCAGCTCTCAGGCTTTTCCCTCTCAGCCATGTCCCTCCCAAAGCTGGTTGTTTTCCTTTGTGTGCCTTTTTATACGTCTCTCACAGGAAAATAGTTTTCTGTTCATCCATCTGTCTGTGTGATATAAATCAAGGAAACCAAGTTAGTGGCTCTGATTTAAAAAAAGCAATTCTTCGTTCAAGCATCTCCAGTTTTGACCGACTGTAGAAAGAAGCAAAACATGTGATCTTTAAAGGATTTCTGCATTTCATTGGCATGCCAAGAGCGACTGCACATGAGCAGGCATCAGAATGAACAATGTTATAGCTGCCACTCTGATATACATTCGCCCATAGAGGAGGATGCTTTTGATTCGTAGTGGCATTTACATCATGCTGGCTAATGAGCAAGGTTGTCAAGGAGACGGGGAAATTGGTCTAATGGGTGAGAGGCGGGTGAGGGGGATCGCTAAATATGTAGCGCTGTTCATTTACATGGGGTCAAGTGGAAATAAATGACATTAAGCTGGAACTATTGTCGAAGGGTTTCATTGTGCTCTCACACCTAGCATGTGTTGGTATTTCCTGTAGTGTGTGTGTGTGTGTGCATGTCAATGGTCTACAAAGGCTAAAATTCCAAAGTTCTCTCCGGAGGGGGTTTCTCAACTCAATTTCTTAGAACATGGCAAGCAGCAATATACAAATCTGGCTCGAGTTACTTTCACCCCGTAATGTTAACGTAGAAGTTTCCTTGGTTTGTCATTATGTCTAAAACAAGGTTAAATGTTAGTTATTTATATGCGAGCAGGGGACAAAATGAAACAGTTGAGAGTAGCACACCCTGCGCTTAGTCACCAGCTTCCCATTTGTCTTACGTAGAGCCGACGATACAGGATGACCTCACTAAAACTGTCCACTGAATCTTTTACCTGTCACATGACTCCACATGCCGTATGACTTCATAACTGCTCATGCTCTGTTTATAGAAAGTCTACGTGATCAGGCAGCGGGAAATAAAATAAAAAATAATTGAAAAGCTTCAACAACAGGTGTGAAGGTGACCTTACGGTGCGAAGCATGGGATTCAATCTGCATGCTGAAGGAATATTTTAAATCATTTCAGGAAACAATACTACATGACATTCCTTATTTTAATTTTAATATCTCACACGTAGTGACAGTTAAATACCGAGCAGCATTTTCCCAACAGGCCTCACCGCGGTTTACTCATCCATCCTCACCAGGAGGAATAAAGGCAATGAAAGGAAAGTAATAGCCTGGCATAATCCAGCAGCTGAAGCCCGGGGGGATAGAGGCCGCGGCACGCTCGCATACCTCCGCCTCCTGGAGGAGTTGACGTCACCGTCCCTCATCTTGTCATAAATTTGTCCTTCTATATACTGTTCTCTGTTAAGAATCACAGCTGCTGCACTTCTTGTCTCGTCCTGTCTCTCGAACTGACCCCTCCGTCGTCTCCTTCCTGCCGCAGTAAAATGGAAAGTTAGACTAACTTAAACATCCCGCGGCATGTTAGACAACTCCCCCCCCCTCTTCTGTCCCTGTCCCGGCCTGCGGAGAAATCCAGTTCGACAGCTTTAATGACGGCAAGCAAAGGCACATTCACAAGTGCAGAACACAAGCTTTTGCACTTGCATTCGTACTGCTTGTTGTACAGATAGAGGTTATTAGACACTCTCATGCAGTGTCACACCACCCTCCGACTGCAATTGTAAGAATGTATTCAGGGATGGCTGCAGTGTCTCTGTGGCTGTGGCCTAATTGAAGTGGAATTACATTTCTTGGGTTTGAAATAACAGCCATTGCTTCATAGCCCCTCCCCCTCCCCCATTTCATGAGATGTAGCCAACACAGAAGATATCAATCTGTCCAGCAGTAATGGAATCTTTGATTTGGTCTAATTTGTGCAGCAACACTTCTCATGAGTCATAATTCTCTGTTGTGGTTACGCTTTATCTGCGCTCTGCCCTCTCATTAAAGAATAAAATGGAAATGACAACACGAGTAAGAGAATTTACAATCCCCTGCATCTTAAATGTGTTCTGTTGTTTCTCCTCGTGTCTAGTCGGTGGAAAAATCTTTATTTTTGTGCGCATGAATATAGATATGCTCTCCCGCCTGCTTTCTCTTACACTTTCCATTTTCTAAAGTTATAGCAGGGGTTTTTCATTTTGAAAAGTAAATGTCTTAAACCTATCCCCATTATTAAACGGCTCCATAAAAAGCATACATTATATGTAATTGTGTTATAGAGGATATTAAACCTGTCAGTTTTAGCTCCCGAAGGATCCTGCAGCCATAAATCCCAGCGCCAAACAAAAGCTCCTGATGGCCTTACACGAGATTAGATATGAAGAAGACAGTTTTATTTGATTATTCAGACCGTGCAATCACCGACATAAAAGCTTTACAACTTGCCTATTCATTCTGTATCTATAAATGTCCCCTTATCTTCAGAGAGCCTCTTTTCATCTGCATCCTTTTTATTTCCTTTTATTTATTCCAGAGATCTTGTTTCCAGCTGCAGACTTTTAACAAGGCGCTGAGCTATAAATAAATCGATTCTGCGGATAGTTCTCATGCCGTGAGACGCCTTTTATCACGAGGAGGTTTTCACAGAAACTGGATTACATCTTACTTTCCTGATGGCTTCATGCGTGATTCCAAATAGACAATTTGTGTGTGTGTGTGTGTGTGTGTGTGTGTGTGTGTGTGTGTGTGTGTGTGTGTGTGTGTGTGTGTGTGTGTGTGTGTGTGTGTGTGTGTGTGTGTGTGTGTGGCATATAAATAGATTTTGTGTGTTTGGGCTGCTTTGCCAAAGAGGCTTTTCCAGAGTGACTGAATGTTCCTTTTGAAAGCAAATGTCCTAAAACCTGTTGGCTTTATCATGTTTTCAACAGTTGGTTGAACTTGGTATCTTCCTTTAGGGGTGTCTTTAATGAATCACAATCTGTTTTATTACCAAGTAGGTTTACACAAGGATGTATATACCATGCTTTGGTATAAATAGTGCATACAAAGACACAGACAGAAGAATACGTAGCAAAAAATAGTATTAATATTTTAGGTCTATTGTTACAAATTAAAGACAGTATTCAAGCAAAAATATAAGAGTGTGTTTGTCAGGGGCGGACTGGGACTAAAAATCAGCCCGGGGAAACTCGACCGGCCCACTTCCGTACCGGGAACACTCCCGGTATTCCCAATGGCCAGTCCGCCCCTGGTATGTGTTATGAATGTGACTCTTATAACTGTTACAGATGATTATGTGGTAAGCAATGTGAGTTTTATTGTGCGATAATCTCTATCAAAGTGCCAGTTTAGGCAGTGAACACAACCACAAACTTCCAACTCCTATTTAGTGAGGTTATGTAATTTAGCTTTGTGATAAACTGGCAACCTGTTCCCAGTGTTTCCTGTTTGATGCCCACTGTGAGCCGGGATAAGCGGTTTAAAAATCCTGCGCGTGGATGGATGTGGATTAATGTGTAATGCCTTGTCACTTGTCACTGCACTGAGCCACACACACACACACACACACACACACACACACACACACACACACACACACACACACACACACACACACACACACACACACCTTGAAATCACCCTGTACACTAGAAATAAGTAATTTACAGAAAAATTATTGTGGTATAATACTTTTGTCATTCAGTCTTGTTCCCATCATTATTCACAACGAAGCACAATGGATCTTCAGTTAATTATTAACCAAATGAAAGTTATTTGTGAGTGCTTGCCTTATTATTAAATGTATATTACCTAATAAATCCAGTCACTAACTCATTCATAACCATCATTCCTTAGTGATCAATTACTTCTTAATTGATTTAAATACCCACAATCCACCTATCTGCCCCCTAGTGGCAGTTTGAAGCAGTGCCAATGATTATAAATGGCTTCACTCTGTGATAATTGTTCCTGTGTTACTCCTCGCCTCACCACGCTCCTCTTCTTCTCCCCAGGAGGACTCCATGAAAGATGACGGAGGAGGTGATTGTTGTAGCCAAGTGGGACTACACGGCCCAGCAGGACCAGGAACTTGACATCCGTAAAAACGAGCGTCTCTACCTGCTGGACGACTCCAAGACCTGGTGGCGAGTCCGCAACACCGGGAACCAGACGGGCTACGTGCCGTCCAACTACGTGGAGCGCAAGAACAGCCTGAAGAAAGGCTCGCTGGTGAAGAACATCAAGGACACACTGGGTAAGAGAACTCACTCTCATTTTGCTTAGAAATGAACAGGTGGGTGTTTTGACCTGTGGAGGAATTTACTGCCTGACTTCTTGAACTCACTACTGAGTGAAGCTCGACTGGTCTCCAATCTGCGTTCTCTGCATCCGATTTGCTCGCTACTGTGTCACCTCTAGTTATACCCTGGTTTCCCCCACTGCAAACACACTGTTCTTTGCTGAACTGATTGGTAACAGGAAAGCGTCAAATCTACATATTTCGTCGCAGACTAAAAGTCGGGCGTCTTTCAACTCCACCTCTCTCTTCTGTAGCACGTGCAAAGGTTTGGCTGATTGATAGATTATATACCTACAGGATTCTTGTTTTTTAAAGTGTGTATTTCAATGGTTGAATGCACAAATTGTAAGATAAAATGTACTTTATTGATCCCAATTTGGGAAATGTTTGCAGCAGCATTAAAGACAAGGCATTGCACATAAGAGAAATTAAGAGTAGAAATAAACCATTCTAAAACGTTAACATCTCTAAATAAAAATAAAACAAAAACCTGTGAGTTGGATGTAGAAAAGTCAGAATCAATATAGATGCTTTTTATTTTAAAGAAAATTCAGATTGAACATGGTAAAAAACTGTAAATTATAGTGTCCGTCCAAAATATATGTTGTACTTATAGTGAAAACTAACCTTGGATGATGTGTTAGTAAACAAAACATAAAGGATATTATATACATTAAAGGTGGGGTAGGTAAATTTGAGAAACCAACTCGAGATACACTTTGGGTTATATTCCATAGAATGCTCTTAACATCCCGATAAATATGAATGAATGAATATCTTAAGTGCTTTGACAAAAAATCCATAAAAAAATGTCATCTGTGGAAGCCGTAGTACTGTAAAAAGCACGACCAATCATCTGAGCCGGCCCGGCTAAAATAACTGGATGGCCTACCTGCCTGTCAGCCTTCCATCTGTGCACAAGCTTATCTCGTGCCCTCATTAGTCCTGTGCGCGTTCGTGTGTGTTGGAGGAGGGGCTCTGTAAGGAAGTGGCAGATTTTCTCCGGCTGTGTATTTTCAAATTCTAGTGCAGTCAAGCTGGTTTCTCCAAAATGACCTACCCCACGTTTAAGTGTGTGAGGAATGGAATATTAAATAAAATATAAGTGTAAAATGTACATTGTGAGTTTAAGTCCATTAAAGGTGTGTTTATGGTACATGGTAATCTAAATGCTTATAAATAGGGCTTTGCTAGTGTTTGCGACAACTCAAGGCGCTTTTGCATATATGTATATACAGTCAGAATCCATCCATTCACACACATTCACACAGAGAGAGAGGCTGCTCTGCAAGGTGCCACATGCTAAGGTCAAGCTAACACACACACAATTTTGGGTTAATTTGGTCGATTTCAGGGGCTGGATATCAAACCCTCGACTCTTCACTTTACCTCCTGAGCCTCAGCTTCCCCCGGCATTTAGTTTTAATGTCGGCCAATTATTATCCGTAGAAGTGGAAACTCTTTGCACTTCCCCTGCTCGCTGTAAGAGGAGCTACGATGTGGTCGTGAGCGGTGGTCAGTGTGTGTGCATGAGAAGTAAAATGATTCCTGGCTGCCTGCTGGGATCCTGTCTGCTGCTCTCAGCTGTCAGCACACTGTCTCAGTCCACAGTCAGGACCTGAATACATTACATTGTGTATATAGCCTTGGCTGCCAACCTATATGATGATACCGACCATGTGGTATAGTGAGGGAGATATAGCTAGATATATCTCCATGGAATTTGGTAGAGCAAAAATTACATTTTAACAGACTAGTATTAAGCCACTCAGAAAATACATTTCTTGTGTTAACAGATATAAAAAAATAATCCGAGTTTAAGAAAATGAAATACAATATGAATTCCATATAAAGAGATGGCTTTCATGATGTCTTTATAAAGGTCCCTCTATGATATTTGAGCCAAATATTTATTAAAATATTATAATAAATCAAATAATAAAACAGGAATAACCTTTCATCCAAATCCAAAGTATTACACGTTTGATGCATGTTTAAATAACATTATTAAATAAAACATAATTCTGCAACTTGTCACATGAGGACATCTCAATGGCTTTGAGTTTTGACCCCACTGTGATCATGGTATGGAGTATAACAAAAATATTTCAATGGATAATAATATTGAAATGCTTGCTGAGGTTAAATGTCTGTATTCCTTCACTGATGATCAGATATGAGTTCTTTGTGTGAATGTGTGACCAGCCCATGACTACAGTATGTTTCCATAATCCCTAGAGACCTGAAGGCTTCTTAAACAGTGATATTTGCTAAAAATAAATCATTCACTCGTGGACTAGAAGTGAAAGTATATAGACATACAATGTTTGAGAACCACTAAGATGTGCGCTAAACTTGGAAGTGTTTGTATAGTTCATGTCCAAAATGAAAGTAGGCTAAAAAGAAATCCTAGCTGTACTTTCTTAAAGCAGGAAAAGAGCAGCATGGAGCATGGCACAGACATTCATCTGTTTTGACATTTCTAGCATCAGTTCCCCCTTTTTGTCATCCAGAGCTGGGGGGAGAACATCGAAACGTATGTTAGAAACATTCAAACTGATTACTGTTCAATTGAGATAAAAATAATAACTGTGTGGCAAGAAGTGAGCGTAGATGGAGACGGTCTAATCTCTGATTCCTCTCGGCTCTGTGGACAGCCCCCCCGAGGGGAAACAGCAGCGCTATGTGGGCCGCATGGCACAGCCTGCCACTGTCACCCTCAGCAGGGATCATTGTGTGCAGAGACAACATGCACCCCCCCCCCCCACACACACATCTCCACCGTTCCCATCAGCTCCATTCCCTGTCACTGTGTCCTTTTTCTATCACCAGTAGATTGATTAGTGGATAAATCAGCTGCCTAATGGTAGTTCTGCAGCGATAGATTACCTCTCTGTCCCTGACTTCGTCACATATCGACTATAACATTATGGCCTAGTTCCATTTCAGTCTAAGTAGTTCTGTTTCAGTCGGTAGCGCTTTGGTGTTAAAAGCCTGATCCAATCCAATAAAGGAGAACATTTTCATGATGAGCTATAGGTGAGATCAGGGGCTAATGGAAGTTACTCACACGCTTGAAACTGATTGGCTTACAGCGTGATTACTTCATGCCGTGTGGACCTTTCTTTAGCTACTGAATGTCTTTCATTTTTGTAAAGCACCTTGAATTGCCTTGTGTTGAAAGGTGCTATATAAATAAACTTGCCTTGCCTAACTCAGTACGTTATGTATTGCGGTTATCTATATTTATTCTCCTTATTTAAAGTTATTCAATGCATTTGTTTCATCCACATTCACCCAGGCAGAATTGAATTGTAAATGGCTCCATGCTGCTTTGTGCCCCAGTTTCCTTGCACAGAAAATAAAGACAGTAATGGCTGAAAGAGAACAGCAAAGGTCTTCCTTATTGCTGAAAGTGGGCCAGTGCTCTACAGTATGACGAACAAGTTGCATTTCTGTCCACCTGAGTTTGTAAATGGCAGCGATGTGTGAGTGTGCGTGGGCGAATGTGAGGTATTTTAAAAATCCTGTCCGTGGGTCAAAAGGCATTATATCTCTGGCTGCAGCCATTTTGACTCTCAAATGAACAGTTATTTTAAGTGTCGAGCAAAAATAGACCTATTTCCTGTTCAAAAAAGGAGGCAAAAAAATGTGCTGCTTTGTAAAAGTACAATATGTGGTCGACAGTAGTTAAGTCAGTAAGCTCCCAATATGACCACAAATCCTGTCAGTACATGGTCTACAGAGAGCATGGCTGGTATCAAGGGTCATGTGAGTTGATTATGATAAGAATGACAGATTATTGAGATTGTCTAGTTGTGGCTTAGTGGTCGAAGAGAAATACATTCATTGAATATCCCCAGTGTGATTCCACTGACCCTTTTCAACGTTTTCAGCCATGCTATCAACATACATTTAAGATGGCAATAGCTGTTTATAGATGGAAATATCAGTGTGTCAGTCGCTCCACTAGTTAGTTAGTTAGAGACATGCATTGTTACCTGCCATTGGTTTGAAGTGAAATGTGTCCAAATAGTTAGACATTTCAACAACTATCAGACGGATTGCCAGATTCTTGTTCTCTTCAGGAATGAATTTTAAAGGTCCCCTATTATACTGTTTTTCATCAATATATTATAGGTCTCAGATACAAAGCATGTCTCTGAAGTGTTTGACTCCAAACACCAAACAGATCATTATAGCATCCCATAATTCCCTCTGTTTCAGCCCTGTTTCCAAAGTGCTGATTCTCTGTCTGTTACTTTAGATGAAAATAAGCAGCCCCTCCCCACGCCCCTCTGAGAGATATTTGGTTAAAAAGAACTCAATAGGCGCGTTCACACCGCAGTACTTTTCCCACTTTAGTTCCGATATAGTTCCGAAATGTCACGTTCAAACCAAAAAGAGCCGGAACTAAAATTAGTTAATGAGAACCTTTTTACCCCCTTTTCAGTCCCTGCTAGAGAGCAGGGGCTTTCGTGAGAGAGAAAGGTTCCTATGTCTGATTGGCTGGGCGGATTGCAAACCACGCCCCGTAAAACTCCCCAAAAGTTTTGTGAAGCTGCCATTTTATTATCCTCGCATTTTATTATTAGCATTAGCATTAGCCCAGCGCAGAAACGCAGAGAGACTAACTTATGGCAACACAAAAAAAAACATGGGAGCGGTGGAGATGAGGAGGTGTCGGAGTTCTGGCGATTTATTTGGAAGGCTCCAACTCCGGGGACTTCCGGCCGTGGACTCCGGGTGGCAGTATATGCCATGAAGTTGTTTGCGGCCTGCCAGTAAACCCAAAGCAGAAGAAGAAGAAGTGACGTCAGCTGCTTCATTTGACTAATCCTCCCCCAGGGACTTATTCCGGTGTGAACGCGATCTGCACTAGTTCATTAAAGAACGAAGTTCTGATTAACCTTTGTGGGAGAAGTACTGCGGTGTGAAAGCGCCTAATGGTGCTCGAGGAGGAGATTCAGGTGATAAGGTGGTG